CTTTCAGTTTCTCTCAGTTTCTCTCAGTTTCTCTCAGTTTCTCTCAGTTTCTCCTCAGTTTCTCCTCAGTTTCTCTCAGTTTCTCCTCAGTTTCTCCTCAGTTTCTCCTCAGTTTCTCCTCAGTTTCTCTCAGTTTCTCAGTTTCTCTCAGTTTCTCCTCAGTTTCTCTCAGTTTCTCTCAGTTTCTCTCAGTTTCTCCTCAGTTTCTCTCAGTTTCTCCTCAGTTTCTCTCAGTTTCTCCTCAGTTTCTCTCAGTTTCTCCTCAGTTTCTCTCAGTTTCTCCTCAGTTTCTCTCAGTTTCTCTCAGTTTCTCCTCAGTTTCTCTCAGTTTCTCTCAGTTTCTCTCAGTTTCTCTCAGTTTCTTCTCAGTTTCTCTCAGTTTCTCTCAGTTTCTCTCAGTTTCTCTCAGTTTCTCCTCAGTTTCTCCTCAGTTTCTCCTCAGTTTCAACATGACAACAGGACTAAACTCAAGCTTGTCTCCTTCAGGTCCCGACAGCTGGAGCTTGAAGACAAGCACAGCACCTTAGAGCTGGAGTACAGGAAGTACATGGAGCTGAAAGGTGAGTATTTCTACACAAACATATAAACAAGCTCCACTTTTATTCAAGAGCTTTTTCAGGGTTCATAGAGACTCAGTAGTTGAGGTTTTTAGCTGCTGACATGGACAGAGTTTCTCTGTGGAGCTCCTGCTGCAAACCTTTAGTCAAGCTGTTGGTGAAAATCCTCAGATGTTGACTGTTTGTCAGGTCACAGTCTCTGGCTGTAAAGATGTTTAGTTTCAAGTTGTTAATGATGTTACTGATGCTAACATCACCTTCAGGTCCATTTCCTGTGTGTCTTTGAGTTTTATGTGTTTCTTTATGTGACACACCAAACCAAATCTTACCTCAGTATCTGCTCCAACCGTTGGTGAGATAGATATATTAGAGATGCAACGATACAGAAAATTCACTATTCGGTTTGGTTTGTTATTTTTTCGATACATAAAAGAGAAATGTCCATGCCCCTTTTAACTTGTAATTTATTTATATTAATTATGAACATTTGTTTAACCTCAAATGTCCAGTTTTTAAATTAAATGTTGCTGAAACATCAAGTTTCTCAGTGGATCTGTGCTCAAAAATACAGCCTAGGTGGAGTAGTGGAACACAGATCCACTGATCCTTCAACACAGAGCATCTTCAGAAGACAAGCTGATAAAGTTAATTTAATAATCTGTATTGTTCCATACAAGTGTGTGTTGAACCTAAAGCACTGTTTGATACGGGTACACGTGTTGTTGCAGCCCTATTTCCCACCACATCAAATCTTAGCTTTAAATCAGTCCAATGAGCTGAGGAACTGCTGGAGGAACAGGTTGATATAATCAAACATGTTCTAATAAACAATAAGAAGCCAATTTAGTAAAAAAATAACATACATATGTAAAAACAATAAATCAATTACCCAAATATCAATAAAAACAAAAACTACAAACTAAAAAAACATAAAACATTCTCCTGACTTTCATCAGTTATGAGTACAAATGTGCTTATTTAACAGCCATGTTTTTGCCAAATGTGCAAACATTGTATAAGTGAAACATGTTATAATGTTCTTCGGCCAAGCTATTCCAGTGATTTGAGACGACAAAGGAGAAAGAAGTTTTATTAAAAGCAGTTCTACATTTAGAGATGCTGCACTCACCTGTAGAGGGCGCTCTCGTGATTCTAGTCATGTTTTCTGATCTCAAAGAGACAAACTTTCTTAAAGCTGCAGCAGCAATACTGTGAAGAATTTTGTAAACTAAACAAATGTTTGCATAAACTATCAAATGCTCAAAGTTAAAAAATATCATATTTTGAGAGAATATGACAGTGATGATACTATCTAGATTTCTTGTTGTGAATCTTTAAAGCATTTTTATTTATCAATTCAAGAGGTTTCAACGTTGTTTTGTATGCCTGTGACCAACTGCTTTTAAAATATAAAAGACATGAAAAGATCATAGAATTCAGGTAAATATGGGATGCCTCAGTAGTTAGAGAGCCACGTATATACCTAAAATTTACTAGGCTATATGTTAAGGCCTTTCTAAGTTTTTTGACATGATTTTTAAAGGTTAAAGTTGGATCTAAGGTCACACAAGTAAACATTTTTAATTTTTTCCCCTGTTTATATAAATATCTGGATAACTCATAAATTTCCTTCTGTTTGTAAAGAACATTGCAACTGTCTTTCCTGTATTTAAGGCGAGATTAGACTTTTGCAAACACTGAGATACTCTTCAGTTCTTCTGTTAGTCTCAAAGTTACTTCTTCAACATTTTGTCCATGTGTAAATAAAACAGTGTCATCTGCATACATAATAATATTAGAGCCACACACCAGTGGAAGATCATTAATATACAAACTGAAGAGCAGTGGTCCTAAAATGGGACCCTGAGGCACTCCCATGATACAATCTTTGAAAGAAGACAAAGTGTTGTTTACTCTAACACTGTTTCCTGCCATTAAGATAAGATTTAAACCAATTTGTTGTTTCACTAGCCAGGTTATAGTTTGTTAATTTCTGTAACAGGATATTGTGATCAACAGTGTCAAAAGCTTTTTGCAAATCCAGAAAAACAGCACCAAGTACCCCTCCCTGGTCCAAGCTTGATTTGATTACCTCTAGGAAGTAGGTGCATGCTGTTTCTGTAGAATATTTCTTTCTAAAGCCAAACTGCAAAGGCTGTAGAAGTGAGCTGATATCTAGATGTTCCGTTAACTGTTTCACAGTAACCTCTTCATAGACCTTAGGAATTGTAGGCAGAATGGTAGTAGGCTGATAGTTATTAATCTCCTGTTTATCACCTGACTTATATACAGGTGTCCACATACCAGTTTTTAATGCAACAGGAAATATATTGTCTTTTATAGACGGGTTTATTAGATTTGTTAGGGCTGTACATTCAGAGTCTTTATGATTTTTAAAAAATACATTATCCAGCTCATATATATATTTTACTTTACTGTTATTCAAGTTTCCAGCAAAACTTTTTACTTGTTCTTCATTAACAGGCGTAAATTTAAATGCTGATTCATCACAGTCTAAACATGTTGGCAACATAAAGAGACAAAAAGGACCAATGTTGTAAAACTGTAAATAATTTAAACTAAATTATTCATATATTAGAGTGTATATAATCTATGTAATGTATATAAAACTGTCATCTGTGTGTTCTGGATGTAAAAACAGAAACATCTCCTTTAACAAGTCAACAGATTTGATCTTATTTAGCTGAATGTGATCTGAGCAGAACATAATGTAACAGTTTAAATTAAAATAATCTTATAAAGTCCATGTAATCACTGTTATTTATTGAACTGTTAGCAGATATTAGCTTGTGGAGCATTTATACAGAGTTTAACACTGTTGAGTCATGTTACAGTTTAACACTTATTTTTTTATTTATTTACTGTTATTTTACCAGGCAAATCCCATTGAGATCTCAGATCTCTTTTTCAATTTAACACAAACTATTAAATATTACTTTGTCCTCTGATTAATATTTAGACCTACAG